CCAACGGGACGTCCACGTATGGCCGTAGCAAGATCCTATGTGATGGCACATCGCGCCCAGGTTCTTTAAGGTTATGCTGCCCATAGCTCTATGATTTCTACGACGCATCTCGCACTCGACATGAGTGTGAGACATTCGTGACATTGAGGGTTCGCCACGGCTCATTCGCATTAGGGGGTTCGCCACGGCACACTCGCGCCGTCGCATGCGCTGCAACTTCTGGAGTATCTGTCGCATTCGCCACGGCACACTCGCACAATCACATTCTATGTTGCACACTCGCGCAATCACATTCTATGCTGCACACTCGCGCAATCACATTCTATGCTGCACACTCGTGCAATCGCATTCGTCACGCCACAGTCGCGTTATTTCATGCGCCACGCCACACAGGCCCCGTTTATATCGTCACGGTGCAATCGCATCGTGACAATCGCGTAAAGGGGATTCGCACCTAGACATTCAGCCCGCCGCATGCTCACCTACGCCTATCAGCACTGGAATGCTTATGGTATTGACCATGTAAATGGATTCGCACGCGCATGCGCAAAGAGACCGACACATGCATCAGAAAAATTGCAATCCGCCCAAAACTGGGTGACGGGGACTTTAGGGTTCAAACACTACTTCGTAAATGGCCGTTTACTTCTTGGGATGGGGTTCTGCTTTGACATTGGTTGCTTACTGGCGCGAATGGTACAAAGTGGGTAGGAATCCGCGGATTCGTGGGACCTCGGTAAGCGGGAGGAAGGGGGGAGTTGAGGGTATGGTATTTCAGGCGATTATTGGCCACTTCGGCCAGTTTACAGGGCGGGAGCATTTCGACCTCTTTTCGTGATTACGAGAATTACCATGTGCAATGATCAGGTTTTCAAAAATGGTCTAATTACGGAACATGTCACAGGTTCATCGTCTCGTTGATTATTTTATGCGCTGTTTCTTCACACATTTAGGTGGTTTAATCAATGACCTTGCTATAAGAAATGGTCGGAGCTTATTCGCACAATCACGCAGCAAGTAACGCTTGTTCGTGCGTTCGATGGTTTTAATCTGTGCAAGGATAGGCCAATGCGCAACATGGCACCGTTCCATCGTCGGGTTGTTTTGTTTAGCGTCATTTCTTCCCACATTCAGATAGTTCGATAGGTTACCAACTGTTTTGAGCTCACTCGCACAACTACGCTGTCAAACATTGTATGTTATATTGTGTAGGCTATAGTGGGTTTAGCCTTAGAGGGTACACAAACTTAGGGTTTCCTACTTGTACCCAACTTCCTGCTAGTTCATTCATTCTCGTTCTATTCTAAGATTCTAACATGGTATCACGAGCCTAGGTTGCTACCTAGGACCGCTTTCTACAATGGGCCCACTATTCCGCTAGAAGCGCCCTCGTGCGCCCTACCCTACGTGCGCCCTCGTGCGCCTTTCTCTGCTAGTGCGCCTTCGTGCGCCCTCGTGCGCCCTCGTGCGCCCTCGTGCGCCCTCGTACGTCCTCGTGCGCCTTCGTGCGCCCTCGTACGCCCTCGTACGCCCTCGTGCGCCCTCGTGCGCCCTCGAGCCGCCCCTGCAGGTCCGTCAGGCCCCCGAGCCGCCTCTGCAGACCCGTCAGGCCCCCCCCGAGCCGCCTCTGCAGGCCCGTCACGCCCGAGAGCCGCCCCTGCAGACCCGTCAGGCCCGCGCGCAGCCTCTGCCCGACCGCGCGCCGCCTCTGCAGGCTCTCGCCGCCCACCGCGTCGCCCTGTCCGCGGCGTCGTCGTCGCCTGCCCGCGGCGTCGTCGTCGCCTGCCCGCGGCGTCGTCGCCTGCCCGCGACGCAGCCCCTGCCCGCGGCGTCGTCGCCTGCCCGCGGCGTCGTCGCCTGCCCGCGGCGTCGTCCCCTGCCCGCGACGCAGCACCTGCCAGCGGCGTCGTCGCCTGCCCGCGGCGTCGTCGCCTGCCCGCGGCGTCGTCGCCTGCCCGCGGCGTCGTCGCCTGCCCGCGGCGTCGCCGCCTGCCCGCGGCGTCGTCGCCACCTGCCCGTGGAGCCGCCCCTGGAGCCGCCCGCCACTGCAGCAGTAGCCCTTGGAGCCGCCCGTCACTGCAGCAGCAGCCCCTGGAGCCGCCCGCCACTGCAGCAGCAGCCCCTGGAGCCGCCCGCCACTGCAGCAGACGCCACTGGAGCAGCTTGCACCTGCAGCAGCAGCCCCTGGAGCAGCCCGCACCTGCAGCAGCCGCCCCAGGCACCTGGAGCAGCTGCCGTCGCGGCCCGGCCTCGCCCTGCAGCAGCTGCCGCGGAGCTCCCTGCTGCGGCCCGGCCCCGCCCTGCAGCTGCAGCGGCCCCGCGGTTGCCACCGTCTTGCGCCTGCCGCGCCGACCACTGGTGAGCATTGCCCTGCCAGCACTGCTACTGCTGCTACTGCCTTTTCTACCTCCACTGCTACTGCTCCTACTGTTTCTGCTGTTACTGCCGCTACTGCTGCTACTGCTGCTCCTGGCGAGGCCAGATGCAGCTCCAGGGCCGTGCGCGTGAGTCCCTCACGCCCCAGCAGCTTCGTGAGTGGTACGCTAGTTGGGGCTGTCGGGGTGGCCGTAGTGGTAGTCGCTCTGGAGTGGGTCGGTCGGGAGCTTCTGGTAGTGGACAGGTGCAGCTGCAGTGTCCTCTTTCACCCCAGCAGCTTCGTGAGTGGTACGCTAGTTGGGGCTGTCGGGGTGGCCGTAGTGGTAGTCGCTCTGGAGTGGGTCGGTCGGGAGCTTCTGGTAGTGGACAGGTGCAGCTGCAGTGTCCTCTTTCACCCCAGCAGCTTCGTGAGTGGTACGCTAGTTGGGGCTGTCGGGGTGGCCGTAGTGGTAGTCGCTCTGGAGTGGGTCGGTCGGGAGCTTCTGGTAGTGGACAGGTGCAGCTGCAGTGTCCTCTTTCACCCCAGCAGCTTCGTGAGTGGTACGCCAGTTGGGGCTGTCGGGGTGGCCGTAGTGGTAGTCGCTCTGGAGTGGGTCGGTCGGGAGCTTCTGGTGATGGACAGGTGCAGCTGCCGTGTCCTGTGAGTGAGGCTGCCGCTCTAGGTGCTAGTGCGGCTGCTACCCCAGGTGCTGGTGAGGCTGCTGCTCTAGGTGCTAGTGAGTCAGCGCCCCTGGTACTGAGTCGACTGAGGCACTGCACACCTTCACTCTGGACTCAGGTGCTTCTCGCTGTTTCTTTCGTGACCGCACTGCCCTTGAGCCGCTTGCTCGGCCAGTTGCTGTCTCCCTCGCTGACCCCTCTGGGGGTCCGGTCATTGCGACCTCCTCCACTGTCCTTCCCTGTCCTGCGGTCCCGTCAGGCACACTGTCAGGTCTCCACCTCCCCTCGTTCTCTACGAACCTGGTGGCAGGGTGTGCGCTCCAGGACGGGGGTGTTCACCAGTTCACCCCTGCCTACGAGCGCGTGACACACTGCACGTGTGCTCGTACGGGCCGCCACTTGGCTACCTTCACTCGGCAGCCGGGGTCGGACCTGTACACACTGACCACTGAGTCCCCTCAGGTCGCTGCGTCTGCGTCTGCGTCTGCGTCAGGTCAGCTGTCGGCCCCCTGCTCGTGTCGCTCTCTGGCGCACGAGACTGTCCTCTGGCACCACCGACTTGGCCACCCGTCTGTGCAGCGCCTTCGTGCCATGCACTCCCGGTACCTTGTCTCTGGTCTTCCCAGGGTCCTCCCTCCCCTCCCACCCTCGCCTGCTCCTCCCTGTCTTCCCTGTGTCGAGGGGCGGCAGCGCGCCGCTCCTCACTCCTCCTCGTTTCCCCCAACGACTGCTCCCTTGCAGACGCTCCACATGGACGTGTGGGGCCCAGCCCGCGTCCGTGGTCAGGGTCAGGAGAGGTACTTCCTGATAGTTGTTGACGACTACTCGCGCTACACCACGGTCTTCCCTTTGCGCACCAAGGGTGAGGTCCCTGATGTTTTGATCCCTTGGATCCGCAGAGCTCGTCTCCAGCTCAGCGAGCGTTTCCACTCGGACTTTCCTGTCCTGCGCTTGCACTCTGACAGAGGTGGTGAGTTCTCCTCCGACCTCTTGGCAGCCTACTGTGCTGAGCATGGCATTGAGCAGTCGTTCACGCTTCCGGCCTCTCCACAGCAGAATGGGGTTGCGGAGCGCCGCATTGGCCTAGTCATGGAGGTCGCCCGTACCTCCTTGATCCATGCGGCTGCCCCCCACTTTCTGTGGCCGTTTGCGGTCCGGTACGCTGCGCATCAGCTCAACCTCTGGCCCCGTCTCTCCTTGCCGGAGACCTCCCCACACTGCTGTGGACGCGGGAGGTGGCGATGCGTCGCGTTTCCGGGTTTGGGGATCTCGAGCTTTTGTCCGCGATACGTCCGCGGACAAGCTCTCCTCCCGCGCTGTTCCCTGTGTCTTCCTTGGCTTTGTCCCTGACGCGTCTGGTTGGCAGTTTTACCACCCCACCTCGCGCCGGGTCCTGCCCTCTCAGGACGTCACTTTTGACGAGTCCGTCCCCTACTACCGCCTCTTCCCCTACCGCACTGCCCCGCTCCCCCCCTCCCCCCCCGCCTCTCTTCCTCGCGCCAGGTGCTGCTGTGGTAGACCCCCTCCCCCCTCAGGGTGCCGCTCCCTCAGGTGTGTCCCAGGTAGACCCGGTTGAGCCTGTTGAGGTAGCTGTTGACTCTCGTCCTGCTGCGGGTGCGGAGCCTGGGGGTGCGGAGCCTGAGGGTGCGGAGCCTGAGGGTGCGGAGCCTGGGGGTGCTGAGCCTGCGGGTGCGGAGGTGCGGGTGCGGAGCCTGGGGGTGCGGAGTCTGGGGGTGCTGAGCCTGGGAGTACTGAGCCTGGGTGCTGAGCCTGGGGGTGCTGGGGCCGCGGAGTCCGGAGTCTTGGGGTTCTGAGTCTGGGGGTGCTGAGCCTGGGAGTCCTACACCTGGAGGAGCTCTCTCCTCGGAGCAGCTGCGTGAGTGGTACTCAGAGTACTGCAGCCTCCGGAGAGGTGCCTCTGGAGCCAGGAGTACTACTGGGACTGGTGCTGGTGCCTCCCCTCCTCAGCGGGAGCTGCCCTCTCTTGAGCGGATCCGTGAGTGGTACGAGCGGCGCTGCACTCTCCGGAGTGGCGCGCCTGGTGTCGCGGACCCTGGTGCTGGAGTTGCTGGAGGTGCTGCTGCTAGCGCTGCTGGTGCTGGAGCTGCTGGAGGTGCTGCTGCTGGTGCTGGAGGCTCTACTGGTGCTGCTGGTGCTGCGGACCCTGGAGTTGGAGCTGCTGCTGGTGCTGCGGACCCTGGAGTTGGAGCTGCTGCTGCTAGTCCTGAGGACCCTGGTGCTGGAGCTCCTGCTGGTGCTGCGGACCCTGGAGTTGGAGCCGCTGCTGGTGCTGCGGACCCTGGAGTTGGAGCTGCTGCTGGTGCTACGGACCCTGACGTTGGCGCTGCTGCTGGTGCTGCGGACCCTGGAGTTGGGGCTACTTCTGGTGCTGAGGACCCTGGAGCTGGCGCTGCTGGAGCTGCTGCGGGTGCTGGTGGTGTCTCTACTGGTTCTGGAGTCGCTGCGCGGCCCCGGCCGTACTTCGTTCCGCTCCTTCAGCAGGTTCTTGGTCAGCCTCCTCCTCCTTGTCCTGCTCCCTCCTTAGAGTGTCCTCCGCCTGTCCAGTCACCGTCACAGTTACCGCCTGCCTCGCCGCTCCCTGGTCCTTCTCCTTACACTGGTCCCACAGGAGGTCTTACGGAGCGTCGTGAGCCTGAGTCTCGTCCTGTGTCGCCTGCGTCTCGCTCTATGTTGCCTGTTCGTGCTGCTTGCCCTGGTCGTCGTGTCCCGCGTGAGCGTCCTCCTCCTGTCCCTGGCACTCACTACATGACTCTGCGTCCCTCCACTGCTCCTCAGCGTGTCCCTCTGCCGTCTCCTCCTGCGTCCTCTCTTCCTACTCTTGCTGACCCGGAGTCTGACTCCCTTCGTGCTGCCCGTCCTACTGTCACGCGTCTCCTCGCTACTGTTGTCACTGACCCTACCTTTGAGTCCTCTGCTGCGTCTGCTCTCGTCGCTGAGTTAGTTGACTTTGCTGCCGCTTGTCGTCTAGACTACGCCGCTAGCCTAGTTGCTGCGTCTGAGTCTGTCTGTCCTCCGTCCGTCGGGGGTGAGTGTGCTCTTGGCACGGACGTCCTTGAGGACAGGCAGGAGGAGTTCCAGTGCTTTGCTGCTGCTTTGCCTCATCTCGTGTCCATGCTAGTTGCCCTGACGGAGACCCGGATGCACCAGACATCCCGACCCCGCGCTCTTACGCAGAGGCGATAGCGGGTCCCTACTCCTCTCAGTGGCAGACAGCCATGGACGTAGAGATGGCTTCCTGGAAGTCCACAGGCACCTACGTCGACGCAGTTCCCCCACCAGGGGCGAACATCGTCAGTGGCATGTGGATTTTCAGGGTGAAGCGGCCGCCGGGTTCTCCGCCTGTCTTCAAGGCGCGTTACGTTGCTCGAGGCTTCAGTCAGCGAGAGGGAGTCGACTTCTTCCAGACCTTCTCCCCCACCCCGAAGATGACCACTCTTCGGGTGCTGCTGCACATAGCCGCTCAGCGCGACTACGAGCTTCACTCTCTTGACTTCAGCACTGCTTTCTTGCAGGGTAGCCTGCACGAGGAGATCTGGCTGCGCCGCCCTTCTGGCTTCACTGGGTCGTTTCCTCCTGGTACCCAGTGGAGCCTCCGGCGGCCGGTCTACGGTCTCCGTCAGGCACCACGTGAGTGGCACAACACACTGAGGACGACACTTGCGGCACTTGGGTTCGCGCCTTCTACTGCTGACCCGTCGCTGTTTCTGCGCACAGACACTTCGCTGCGCCCGTTCTACATCCTCGTGTACGTCGACGACTTGGTCTTTGCCACTGCTGACACTGAGGCTCTCGCCCACGTGAAGTCGGAGCTGCAGAAGAGACACACGTGCACAAACCTGGGTGAACTGACATGCTATCTTGGCTTGCGGATCACCCGGGACAGAGCACAGCGCACCATTACCCTGACTCAGTCACACATGGTGCAGCAGGTCCTTCAGCGCTTCGGCTTCACGTACTCCTCGCCTCAGTCCACTCCTCTGCCTACCGGTCACTCGCTCTCAGCTCTGCCTTCGGATGAGTCCGTAGAGCCGAGTGGCCCGTATCCAGAGCTTGTGGGCTGCCTCATGTACCTGATGACCTGCACTCGACCTGACCTTGCATACCCTCTTAGCATCCTTGCACACTATGTCGCTCCTGGCCATCACCGGAAGGAGCACATGGATGCCGCTAAGAGGGTGTTGCGCTACTTGTGCAGTACGTCGGGCATGGGGCTAGTGCTTGGAGGGCGAGACCGAGTTGTTCTCACTGGGCACTCAGACGCTTCTTGGGCAGACGACCAGGCCACTCAGCGGTCGTCTCAGGGTTACACCTTCAGCCTTGGCTCTGGTTCAGTTTCTTGGCGTTCTACACGTTCTTCTTCTGTTCTCAGCTCCAGTTGTGAGGCTGAGATCTACGCCACAGCCATGGCAGCCCAGGAGCTACGCTGGCTCACCTACCTGCTGACCGACTTGGGAGAGCGGCCTCGTTCTCCTCCAGTGCTGTACGTCGACAACAAGGCTGCCATTGCCTTGTGTGAGGAGGCAGCAAACTGGAGCACAGAACGAAGCACATCGCTCTGTGTTACTTCCTGGCTCGAGAGTTGCAGCAGCGAGGCCAGCTTTGTCTTCGTTACGTGACCACTCAGGCAACACTGCTGACGTGTTCACCAAGGCGCTTCAGCCTTGTGACCATCAGCGCTTCTGTACTCTTCTAGGCCTTGTGCCTACTGGACCTCACTTGCTTACTTCTTGACTTTGCTTGTACTGTGATCCCTATATATATATCTGCAGTTCACTCTTGCTAGGTTGTGATCACTGTACCTCTTGTTATATTATGAAACTGCATGTGAACTGGTCTTGTGACCACTTGCTTGTGCTCGGAATTTGTGTGGTATCCTTGAGATCCACCCTGAGCTTGTTTTGCCTTGCTTTGCTTTGACTGGTCTTGTGACCCTTGGTGTGTCTCCCACTTCGCCTAGGGGTGTGTCAAACATTGTATTGTTTATATTGTGTAGGCTATAGTGGGTTTAGCCTTAGAGGGTACACAAACTTAGGGTTTCCTACTTGTACCCAACATCTGCTAGTTTATTCATTCTCGTTCTATTCTAAGATTCTAACATACGCAGCACGTGACGCTTGTTTGTGCGTTTGCTCGATGACATGAAACTGTGCAAGGATAGGCCAATTCGTATCATGTCAGCGTTTCATTGTATGCTTGAAATTTTTAGAACCATATTTTCACACATTCATGTACTTGAATCAGATACCTTGCTATAGGAACTAGTTTGACCTCTTTCACTGATCTGTGCAGCACGTGACGCTTGTTTGTGCGTTCGATGGCCTGAAACTGTGCATGGATAGGATAGTACGCAACATGTCACATTTTTTTCATCTGGCTATGTTTTTAAGCACCATTTTTTCACTTATTCAGGTATTTAAATCAATTACCTAGCTATATGAACTAGTTTGACACATTCGCTCAACTACGCAGCAAGTGAAGCTTGTTTGTGCGTTGATGGACTGAAACTGTGCAAGGATAGGCTAGTACGCAACATGTCACCATTTCATCGTCTAGATTTTTTTGTTGTATTATTTCTTCACATATTCAGGTATTTCGTTCAATTACCTTTCTAGAGGAACTGTTTGAGCTCATTCGCAAAAAAAACGCAGGACGTGATGCTTGTTTCTGCGTTGATGGACTGAAATTGTGCAAGGATAGGTTAGTATGAAACATGTCACCGTTTTGATCGTCTCTCTAGTTGCTTTTCATAGCACCATTTATTCACATATTCAGGTATTTCATTCAATTTCTTGCCATAGAAGATTGTTTGAGCTCATTCGCACAAATACGCAGCACGTGACGCTTGTTTGTGCGTTTGAGGGATAGGAACGGTGCAAGGATATGCCAGTGCGCAACATGTCACCGTTTCGTTGTCTAGTTGTTTTTTTTAGCACCATTCTTCATACATTCAAGTATTTCAATCAATTACCTTGCCACAGGAGCTTGTTTGGCCTCATTCGCACAACTGCGCAACACGTGACGCTTGTTTGTGGGTTTAATGGACAGAAACTGTGCAAGGATAGGCCAGTACGCAACATGTCACCGTTTCTTCGGCTAGTTATTTTTTTAGCACCATTTATTCATATATTCAAGTATTTCAATCAATTAAATTGCCATAGCAACTTGTTTGACCTCATTCGCACAACTACGCAGCATGTGACGCTTGTTTGTGCGTTTGATGGCATGAAACTGTGCAAGGATAGGCCAGTGCGGAACATGTCACCGTTTCATCATCTAGTGTCAAACATTATATGTGTTGGTTGTTGTTAGGCTACAGTGGGTTAGACCATATGGGGTACAGATCTCTAGGGTTTACTATTTGTATTGCCTTCCTTGTTAGTTCAGTCATCATGCCTGTTCATTCTGACATGGTATCAGAGCAGGTCCTTTGCTAGGACCGCTCCTAGGGCCCACCGCTACCTACCTACCTACCTACCTATCGTGCGCCCTCGTGCGCCCTCGTGCGCCTCGTGCGCCCTCGTGCGCCTCTCACTACCGAGCGCCCTCGTGCGCCTTCGCGCCCTCGTGCGCCTCTACCTACCGCGCGCCCTCGTGCGCCTTAGCGCCCTTGTGCGCCTCTACCTACCGCACGCCTCGCTCTGCGCCTTAGCGCCCTCGTGCGCCTCTACCTACCGCGCGCCCTCGTGCGCCTCTACCTACCGCGCGCACGCAGCCCGCTAGCCACCCGCGCGCGGCTCGTTTTTAACGCGCGCGACTCGCTAGCCGCCCGTGCGCGGCCGATTTTTCGCGCGCGCGCCTCGCTAGCCGCCCGCGCGCGGCCGATTCTTCATGCGCGTGACCCGCTAACCCCCGCCCGCGCTGCGGCTTAGGGTTTGTCGGCGACCCGTCGCAGCCTTGTGCGGCCCTGCGCACTGCCCGCGAGCTGCCCGCCGCTGCAGGCTCTCGCCGCCCGCCGCGTCGCCTTTCCCGTGGCGTCGTCACCTCCCTACCCGCTCGTGGCGGCCCTTTCAGCCGCCGTCGCGGCTCCTTCCCCCACGCGTCGCGGCCCCTTAGCCGCCCGTCGCAATCCCTCAGCCGCCCCTTCGCGGCTTCGACTTCGTCTGCAGCAGCTGCCGCCACCGAACCTGCAGCAGCAGCCGCCGCCGACCTGCAGCAGCTGCCGCCGCCGAGCCTGCAGCAGCAGCCGCCGCCGACCTGCAGCAGCTGCCGCCGCCGAGCCTGCAGCAGCGGCCGCC